GCAGCAATGGTAAACATTCCACCACAGATCCGACCAGTGATAAAGAATGATGGCAGCACTGGGTGACCCTAATTCTCCAACAGCACTCGAACCTAATCCTAATGCCGCCCCATCTATTCCGGGTCTTTTCACTAGACATCTCAACCCTAATGCCATACCATTTACACCACGGTCCCATCAAGGCGCCCCAGCAAATTCCTGGGTACGCTTTGGCTTCATCAACATTTGTAGCCTTCGGCACAAAGTCGACGCCCTGGAGCAGCTGATCGCGGACCAGTGCTGGGACATAGTCGGTGTTGCTGAAACATGGCTTGATGGCACAGTGTCTGATGGAGAAATCCGGATCCCAAACTTCAGTATTGCCCGTCAGGACCGTGCCGGTGGAAGAGGAGGTGGAACATGTATCTACTTCAGGTCGACCCTCCCCGTGAAGCCTCGCCCGGATTTGACGGCGGATGATGTAGAGTGCACCTGGATCGAGCTTAAAGGTGCCCGGGCGCCTCATCTCTTAGGGTGTGTGTACCGGCCGCCAAGTGAAACAGTTGCGTTCTGGCCCAGACTAGAGACTGTCTTACAGGCAGCCACCAACAACACCGGATCGGTCACTATGATGGGCGACTTCAATGTAAATGCTGACCCAGTTTCTCCTGGCCCACAATTGCGCCACATGCATGACACGTGTGGAAGCTATGGACTGCAGAACGTTGTGACAGCACCAACTCGTGCTCTGCCCCAATGTGTGCGTGGAACCATACTAGATCTAGTCTTGGTCAACCATGCCAGCTTAACATCCTGGAACATCGTACCATGTGACATCAGCGATCACTTTGCTGTGAGTGCTTCACTCAGCTGTGCTACTGAAGTAAGCCAGCCAGCGAGTTCGCTCCTCACTAGGCAGCTGCACAGAGTGGATATAGCAGCTCTCCGCGCTGACCTGCTTGCAGCAGACCTTCACATTTTTCCTCCACATGCGAGCGTCGACGATATGTGGTCCACTTGGCACGCTAGCATAATGCGTGTACTGGACCATCATGCCCCGATGACCCCAGTTAAGAAGCGTTCCAGAAGAAGGCCATGGCTTAACAGAGACACTTACCAGCTAACGATGGCAAAGAACAGGCTGCACCGAAGATGGCTGCGAGACCGGGCTAACATAGCATTATTCCACCAGTACAAACGTGCTCGAACGGCGGCAGCAAACCTTGTCAGACGGAGGAAAAACCAGTACTTCAGTGATGAATGTGTTGTCAACAATCGCAATCCAAGGAAGATGTGGTCCCTGTTAAACTCCATCACTGGCAGAGGAGGAAGCAAGCAAGACCCTGCATGTGATGTGAACAAGGTCAGCGTGGCATTTAGCAACATTGTAACTGACCCTGATCGGCCAGCCCACTTGCCATTACCGAATGGACCCCCAGCTGAACACTCACTCAGCTGTCTGGGAACAGCATCTTATGCTGCTGTGAATAAGCTTCTGCAAGCGATAATTCCGGTGAAGGCAACTGGCAGTGATGGAATACCTGGGCTGCTTCTCAAATCCTGCAGTGATATCCTCACGCCATCCCTCACACGGATCTTCAATGAGTCTCTTGAAACGGGCATTGTACCTTCTGCCTTCAAGAAGGCCCTGGTCCGGCCTCTGTACAAGTCTGGAGACCCAACATCACCCGGGAACTATCGTCCAGTATCCCTGCTGCCGATTGCCTCAAAGCTGCTAGAGAAGCTCGTGCAGCGGCAGCTTGTGGCATTCCTCGATGAACACAATGTTCTACCACCGACCCAATTTGCCTTCAGGAAGGATCACTCCACTGAAGATGCACTTGTGCTACTAACGGATGGTGTTCTCACTGCAAAGGACTCTGCATTGCCTTGCTGCATCTGCCTACTTGACATGTCAAAGGCGTTTGACAAAGTCAGTCACCCTACGCTGCTGCAGGACTTGTTCGACATTGGCGTTTCTGGAACGACATTAAGTTGGTTTGCCAACTATCTCAGCCATCGAACCCAGCAAGTGCGCATTGGAACCCAGGACGGACCCTGTAATGCATGCACATGCGGTGTTCCACAGGGATCCGTTTTAGGACCAATCTTGTTCAGTGTATACACGCGCGGCATACCAGAGGTTGCTGGTGACGTGCCCACAGTACAGTTTGCGGATGACATTGGCTTGTACTTCAGCCACCGGCTGCCTACTGAATGCTCCGCGGCGCTTACCCGGGCAGTATCTGCAGTGGCTGACTGGCTAGAGGATCGCAACCTCATCCTGAACTCCACGAAGAGCCAAGTCCTGAGCATGCACAGTGAAGCCATTCCTGTAAATTGCAATGGGACTAGTTTGCCAGCAGCAAGCACTGCGAAGTACCTCGGAGTTCTGCTGGACAGCTCCCTCAACTGGCAGAAACACGTGGACAGCATCGCCAAGAAAGCATCTCAGAAGATCGGGGCGCTCTGGCGATCTAGGCGAGCATTAAGTCTGAAGGCCCGTACACAGTTCATGAAGTCCATCATCATGCCTGATCTGCTGTACGGGTCGACAGCATTTTTCGCCTGCCTGCGACAGGAGCAAGTCTCTCGCTTGCAAGTTCTCCAGAACCGAGCTGCCAGGGCAGTGTTTGGCCAGCCACCCCGCTCTCATGCTCAACCCCTCCTGACCAGCTTGCAGCTCTACAGCATTCAGGAGCTGCACAAGCAGAAGATGCTGAGGTTTGTGTGGCGTTGCCAGCACAACCGAGCCAGCCCAGCCCTCCAGGACAAGTTTCGAAGTGCTCATGGAAACACCACCCGCCTCCAGCAAGGACAGGGTTTGCGCCTGCCGCTAGCCCGGTCAGCAGCAGGGACATCCCGTCCATCGCACTGTGGTGCCATCCTCTGGAACACCCTCCCCAGCGAAGTTCGCCTACTCAATCGTCCCAGAGAATTCGCCGTAGCTGCACTGCCCTTCACGCTGGTGGGCTAGATCTGCAAACTCCGTGAATTCTCCCGCCTTCTGTGTTCACAGTCCCACACTCCCCTTGGAGTAGTCTGCACGGCGCTGCTGCTGCTGCTGTTGCTGCTGTTGTTGTTGTTGTTGTTGTTGTTGTTGTTGTTGTTGTTGCTGTTGTTGCTGTTGTTGCTGTTGTTGTTGTTGTTGTTGATAGTGTTGTTGTTGTTGTTGTTGTTGTTGCTGCTGCTGCTGCTGCTGCTGCTGCTGCTGCTGCTGTTACAGCAGCTACTGCTGCGGCTGTAGTTACAGCCCCTCTCGTTGTCAGGAAATGTTTGCTTGTGCTACTTCTCATCCAGTTGACTTCTTATTATGACTTTGTACGTTATAATTTTGTTGAGCTCCGGTTTTCCCCTTCATTCTAACTCAAGTGCAGTTTAGCGTGTATTGGCTTGTGATTTCCTTTCTTCTGTTTGCTTGGCATTTTATCGCTCCACAGGTACCCCCGGTCTCAGGTGCTCTCACATTTGTGCAATTGTTGATTTTGGTCCTGAATTGTCCTCCCTGTTGCCTTGCTACCGTCCTCCTCCTTCCTCCACCTTTTTTTCTTTTCTTAATTGGCCTCATTATGGCATTCGCTTCCATGTAATTGGGCTTGTAGCCCGTGTGTACTTGCGAATTCAAATAAAAATATACATACATACATACAATTGATAAGAAGAAAAGAAAAGAAGAAAAGAGTAACTGCTGGTGTTAGTGGATATTATCGCGTAACTTGTAGCTGTAGGTCCTCTTTTCTTCGAATTGACAGCATGGTACAAGGGCGGAGGAAATGCTGTCATAAATTCATCGCACATTGTACTTACTTTTTGCTGACCTTTGCTATGAATACAATGCTTTACATGTGCCACAACATGCACCTTCACATAAATACAATCCATATGATATGCATATCATTTTTTTGTCAGATCTGCATAAGAAGAACTCCGGATAAGACAAAAAACTTGTTCAGTCCCTTGAAGTTTGCCCTAATGAGGTTTGACCGTAGGTCGAATCTATCCGCCAAGTACCGTAATCATTGCCCGCGCTGTTGTGAATATTGCACTATGCGCGCCACAGTACGAGTACAGTAGTCAGTACAGTTGGTCATCGCTCATGAGCTCGTGACCTCGGACTCACGGAAATCGACCGTACATCATTTATATCTACTAGTAGATCTACGTGCAGTGCAAGTCATGTAGCAAAACGTAGTGTGCAGACTCTGCATGCATGCACCGCGAACTACTGTGTTAGCACACATTCAGTACAGTCAGGCCTAGTTTACCCGACAATGATTGAAAAACGTTTCCACTCCGTGTTTGAAACGTTTTTGCTGTCCACATGAAAACGATAAGCGTTTTTCGGCGCGCAATGGTCACGTGTGATAAGTTGGCCTGGCGACGGCATTTTTAGAGCGGGAAATTCGGTACTCACTCGTTCTTTTTCTTATTTCCCGCTACACCATTCTGGCATTTCCATGGTAGAGGAACGCTTTGGCCGTTTACACGTACGAGAACGAAACGGAACGAAAATGATTAAAAAACACTTTGAAGACCGTTTTTGATTTGAAACGTTTTTGAAACGTTTTTCAGCGTTCAAGTGTAAACGCTCTTGTCAAAATCTGTGGAGGTGTGTTTGTTTGAAAACGTTTTGGCAAAAAAGGTTTTTCAATTGTTGTGTAAATGAGGTCTCAGTGCACGGGCAAAAGCGTACAGCGTACAACACAGTCCGTGTTCGAACAGCAACCTTAAGAGTTCCTTCGTTTGTTTTCAAATTTATCGACCGAATATTCGAACTTCCGTTTGTTCGTTTCACTCCTAAAATAAAATTGAAGCACTGACTGTCTCTGGCTCAAATCAGTCAAACTCGCCATTGAGCGTTCAGAGATGAATCATAATCATTGCAACAGAATTCTCTGGAACGAAGCTATCTGCGAATGCGGGATACATGTGCAATACAAAGGTGTATACAGAAAAGGTCAGACTTGAAGTGCCTTTGCAAGATGGACATTGCTAATGTTGCATGCAGATGCATGACTTACCATCGCAATGCAAAGGACTACCGCTCCAATCTCCAGTCTGCAAGCACGTCCTTTCTGTATCACCTTGACTGATGTTGAATCCAATCATACATGCAAATGATGTAGTGCTGTTGAACAGTGTACTTGGGACATTGGTGAGTATAGAGTTATTACCAGTTGATGGCATGCCACAGTCCACAATACTACACTTTGGAATTGGAGAAGACCAATTTCCGGTGGCATCACATTTGGTTACAATGGACCCATTCACCTCATAGCCAATATTGCAGTAGAAGTTGATCTCATGATCGTACCGGTTAAGCCCAGTTATATTTGTTTGGTTGTAGGAGCCATTTGGTAGGTCTATAGGACCCAGGGCGGAACAATTGATGGCTAAACAAGTTGGTGGAATTGCTGGAATCCAAGAACCATTGCTGTTACATGTTAGATTCCTTGGTCCTATTAGGTTGTATCCAGGAGAGCAGTAGTATGTGACCGTAGAGTTGATGTTAAATCTAACATCTCCTGTTTTGTAGGTCCTCCATATTACGGCATGAGAAAGGGGGTTGGTGGTGTTTGGGTATGAAAATTGAGGGTGCCTACATTCTAGACAAAACAAGGAGAACATGAAGAGAATGCATACAAGCATGTTCCATCCGTAGAGGGCTCAATTTGCCGAAAGCACAGAGCGGAATACACAGAGAGAATCAATTTTTTCGTCTGGTTATAGACTGATTCAGCTTATGAAACTCAGAGTAACAAAACAGCAACTGATCGTTCTTCTGTCTGTGTATGCGAGCATGTATAATAGCATGCATATCACCCACAGGCACATCTAGCCAGTGGAAGTTGGGGTTGCCGAGCTGCTGCGGCTGCATCATATCAAGTGTTTAGTAACAGAATTTGTAATCTGCGAAATGTTTGCGACAATGCATTTATACCAGGAGGCCCCGCAAAGCAGGATTATTGACAATTCTGTTCCAATGCTGTTAAATGGCAGGCAGTGCAAGAGATTAAGCAATCTGCCGATAAGTGTTAGAGAGGCAAATGATCCTAACTAAAAAGTTTGATTTGCTTCCAAAGTGACCGGTTAGAGATTTTATCGCTCTGGATTGGAGGTGTCTCTCTGCAGATTGAGAGCCGATTTTGATTTGAAGTTTTGGATATTGGCTTCGTGGACCACTAGCCGGCCAGTTGTGGACACGCCATTACTGTGGATTATTTCCTTCCCTCGATATTGCAGCGTGAAAGAGGCTGGCTTGGCTTTTCAGTGGCCATTGTTTGCTTCGTCTTGCTGTGTCTTCTTCCTCCTGCGCTACCGAGGTCGGTCCCAGGCGTGAAGGCGTTGCTGGCGCTAGCCAACGCTAGCCAACGCCCGAACACTTCCTGCTGGAGTGGTGTTCAGAGTCAGTCACGTGATGGCGCTAGATCTCAATATTGACCTGGCGATCCTGGAGTTTTCGCAGCTTCAGAAACTAGCTGAGCAGAAGGACATACCTAATTCATGTGACCTAGCACGCCCAGACTTGGCTGCTACTCTGTGCGAAAATGGTATTGGCACTTATCCCCCAGGTTTGGCGCCCAGCCAATTCCCTGCCTGTGGTGAGAAGTGCCTGCCATCAATGGTACCTTGCCTTGAGAAACTTCAGGATTGCATCGCCAGTCTAACACGTGAACTTGCTGCAGTTTCAGCAACCAGAGATGCAGAGCTAACGAGCTTGCGAAATGATTAACTATCCACACGGGAAAAGGTGAACCAGTTGGAGAACGTTGTTGGCTGTGGTGTGTTAGTCCAGCCTTGCAGAACTCAGAAGACCATGGATCTGGCTGGAGCAGCTCAATGCTCACATACGTCATCCCTCCAAAGCGACAAAGCATCAACAGTAAAAGAGAATGGACAGCTAGCCAAGACACCAGACGTTCCTAGACCATATGCCCAAGTTCTAGCAAATGGGCTCATGGCTGAAACTTCTAGTAGTGCCAGTACTGCCGATAAGGACGACGTATCCTTTCAACCTGTCATGTCAACCAGGAGGATGACACGGATCCAACCTCACCCTACTGAAATAGAAGAGGTTGGACTCCCTGCAAACAAACAGGCAAAGGAAGAAGCACCACAAAGAAATCCCATCCGTCGCCAGGTATCATCACGTTACGCCAAACCGAACCAGAATGTCCCTGGTTCAGTTCCGTCTCTGGATGCTGCACCCCGCAGTCCGCGAAAGGTCTTCTACTTGGGAGATATTCCGTTTGGTTGTGAGGCAGCAAGTATAGCAGACTGGTGCAGGGAACGCGGTGTTGAAATAGTGCAGTGCTTAATATACTCCTCCGAGTATTTTCGAACTGCCTCCGCCAGAGTGACTGTCGAGGGTAAGGATGCCGATACTGTATGCTGGCACACCTTCTGGCCAAACACAATGGGTCATACCGTGAGGGAATGGCGTTTCTATTCTGACCAGCCCACCGGACAATATCTCTCACAATGAATAGTAACCTTGTCTTCCCCAACACTACTGGAACACTGAATCCACTGGCCCGTCCCTTTTATCCTCCCATCCATACTGCCCTTACCATCCTTTCCCTCAACTGCCGCTCAGTGGTCAACAAAGTAGCGGAACTCACTGTTATGTGCAACATCTACTCTCCGGAGGTTATATGTTTGTGTGAAACATGGTTGTCCCCTGCCAACCTCTTCTCATTGGCAGGCTACACAGTTCATCGATGGGATCGTCCCACCTCTAATATTCGATCTGCCAATCCTACCAGAGGTTATGGTGGGGTAGCCATACTGGTGAAAGATGGCTCCTTTACATCGGTGAAGCCTCTGGCAAATCTTCAGCAACCGGGCTTGGAGGCCATCTGGCTTGAGCTTCGCACAGCCAACTCACCCCAACGTCCACTCATAGTCTGCGCCACCTACCGACCTCCTGGTGGTACCTTGGCGGATATCCAGGCCTATTCTGATGGTCTGGAAGACTGCCTTCTGTCACTTAATCTACCTGTATCCACACTACTTCTCACCGGTGACTTCAATGCCCAAAATTCGAGCTGGTGGGCTGGTGATCGGACAACCCCGGTGGGTCAGTGCCTTGAGACCGCCTTCAGGTGCTTCGGATTAGAGCAACTGGTCAACTTCCCTACGCACTGGAGCCCAAGTGGCCGGTCATCTTGCTTGGACATCATCGTCACAAATTCACCCCAGCAGTTCCTCTCCGTTGATTCAGCCGCTCCACTGGGTAGCTCTGACCACGTGCAGCTCATCTGTCGAGTCCGTCTCCCTGTCACGTCCAAAAATCCAACCCTACAACATCACTTCCTCCCAACATCTACCCCTACACCCCCAGGTTATAATTTCAAGTTGGTGCCACGTTGCGTATGGGATGACCTGAATGCTGAACTTGCTGATGTACACTGGAAATGTCACCTCCGCAGCTCACACGTGGATGACGCTCTTTCGTCTTTCCACTCTATTCTTAGCAGGGCCGTGGAGAAGCACCTCGGGGACTTCTCCCGGCGTCCACTCTCCCCCTCATGCCGACGTTTAGGTCAGCCACCTTGGGTTGATGCCCCCCTCCGTACCGCCATTAAGGCAAAGCACGATTTCTACAGTGTGTGTAAGAAATACCCAACCCAGCTTAACATGCATGTATATCGATCTCAACGGAACTTGGTGAAGAGTCTGACTCGATGGATATACCGGGGATACATTCGGTCCGTACAAGCTACGCTGCAGGACAAAAACCGCCCATCACTGTTTCAGTTTGTGAGCAAATTAAAAAATCATAAAGTATCTCGTGACATCCCGACACTCACCATTAGTTCTACGCAGCAGGCTACTACCTCTTCAGCTAAAGCCACTGCATTGAACTCTCAGTTCGCCTCAGTGGCCGTGCCTGATGACCCTTCTCTACCCATTCCCCCCATTGCCGAGGAGTCGGGTGAGGCTGACCGCCTCATATCTGTCTTTACTACGACTGCTGCCATCCGACGTTACATTCAAAAGCTCCCGTCTGACAAGGCGCCAGGCCCAGACGGCATCACTAATCTGGTATTAAAGTCCCTTGCGCCCTCAATAGCATACCCCTTATGTCTGATTTTCAACCTATCATTCCGCACTGGTCGTTTTCCCTCTGCATGGAAAACAGCTAATGTTATACCGATCTACAAGAAAGGGTCCCGCCACGAAGCATCAAACTACCGTCCGATATCTCTACTGTCCTGTGTTTCCAAACTCTGCGAGCGCGTTTTCTACCACCAATTGTACTGTCATGTCTCGTCACGTTTGAGTTCAGCTCAGTCCGGATTTCGCAGAGGCGATTCTACCACCCTCCAACTGACGCGCCTGGTGCAATTAGTGTGTCGACATCGGGATGCTGGAGATCTAGTCGGGATCTGTTTTTTCGATCTTGCCAAGGCCTTCGATACCGTCTGGCACCGGGGGCTCTTGGCCAAGCTTCGTGGATCATTTACTGTAGACGGCAATCCCCTGCTATGGCTGACATCTTAACTTACTGGGCGAACGCAGTACGTCACGGTACATGGGACGTCCTCAGCCGACACAACAGTACTATCCGGAGTTCCCCAGGGTTCCATCCTCGGCCCCCTTCTTTTTATCTTATACGTCAATGATCTGCCCGCAGCTGCCCCGGGCACATCACTATTCGCAGACGACACAACGCTCCTACGGGCATCTCCTAACATCACTGGCCTGATGAGTAACCTAGCTAACGGGATTCAAAGAGTAATTTCCTGGATGTCGTCTTGGCGGTTATCGCCTAATCTGTCTAAAACTAAAATCATGCTCTTTCCTTCTCAGCCTGATGTTCCGCCCCTCCTCCATCCCACTTTCCCCCAGCCTATAGACATAGTCTCCAGCCATAAGCATCTTGGCATTTTCATTGACTCTAATCTTTCATGGGAACCCCACATCGATTACATATGTAAACGATCAAGTTCATCTTTAGGAATCCTCTCTTCTCACTGTTACCATCTCCCAATCTCTTGTAAACTCCTCTTTTACTCAGCTTACATACGCCCCATTTTTGATTATGCAGATACTGCTTGGGCTGGAATTTCCACAACCCGTGCTGCCAAGCTCGAAATTCAGCACAAAAAAGTTCTAAAAATCCTCCTCCGAAAACCCCGCATGCTCCCATCTTCCACCCTTTATGCCCTTGCTCACACTACCCCTTTGTCTAAGAGACGTAATTCACATCTTGTCACCCTTATCCATTCTCTCACATTCAATCTGTGTCCACCTCACCTCCACTGTTTCAACTGGTTTTCTTCCCGTAGCACGAGAAACTCCCTTTCCCTTCCGAAACCCAAGTCCTCCTTTCTACTTCACTCTCCCCTTTTCACTGCGTACTCTGCGTGCCTGGCACTTCCCCAAGAAGCTAAGGACCTTTCTTCCCTCCGCCTTTTTAAGAGCCTTGTCGCACCTTGACTTTGATTTTGTGTTTCTCATTTTGTTGCAATCACTACTTATCCATGCCGGTCCCTTTTTTTCTTCTCCTCCCCTTGTCCCTTCCTTGCCGTGGTTGGCTAACACCCTCTCTCTTTGTATTGGCCGGTGTTCTCACTGTGCTATGAGATGCTGTAATAAA